TTTTTTCCATGTAATAAAACATTTAATCATCCTTTAAACAAGATAAATTTACTTTTTATGTTTTAAGCATAAGTCTAATAAATGTAATGAGGTTTATAGTTAAGAAAAAAACAGTTTGTCACTAGGGTATTAAAAATAAACTTCATTCAAGATATTTTGTCTGCTAAGAATTATCTTATACAATTTTGTAGTCAAATTACCGTGGGAACAATACTGATTAAAAAAAGGTTTTGGCAGAGTAGGAAATGGATAGATGTTTAGAAATAGAAAAAATAATGTGTATTATAATGTGTATAAATATAAAAAAATTATATTTAGCAACACCTTACATGCAATTAAAATTAAACATACAATATTACTTGCTGTACCACAAAATAATTACATTTTTTCAAATTAGAAGAGGTGCAATGACATTAGTGAAATTTCAGTGAAAAAATCTGTAAAGATGCTTCATCGTCAAACTCATAAGGTGAAGGATCAATGCAGGTTCTTTCTCATATGGCCTTTGACCCTTTGACCTTAGACCTCAGCTGACAGTTTAACCGGCCCTAACTATGCATTATCTAAGAGCCCCTAATTCACCAAGTGCCATAAAAGTTCCTATTATCTAACCTGAAGCACGCGGCAGGTTGTTTGGGTGCGAACTGGCCTTAAATGGGTCATATGATGTTGCTAAAAAGAACATTATTTTGTGTATTTGGTTTAATGAAATGTGTTTATGTGGTTTGAGGTTCAGTCTGAAAAGCGAGGTGTGCTCTGATTGGCCAGCTATCCAGTGTGTTGTGATTGGCCGAATACCTCAAGCGTGTGACAGAAATGTTACGCCCCTTACCATATTGTGATGCCCTGTCCAGCCGGAGCGACGAGACAAAAACATTAAAACCCATTATAAACGAGGCATTTGTTGCATCCAGTGGGGACATAATTACAGATTATAATAACTTATACTGTCTTTTTACGCGCTGCGTTGCATCGCGCCGTGTAAACATAAAACCATGTCTGCATTTGTGATCGGAGAAATGACAAACAACAAGCGCTACTCTACACTGCTCAAAACTCGCGTTTGAATCGTCAGTGGCAAATTCTTTAAATGAAAACGTACTTACAGTCTGTGAGTCAGAACAACCTGCATTGCTGTCTACTCTTCCAGGATCAGGAAACAGTCCTCCATAAAATGTGCTGCACACATCTTAATATTTGGGTTCTATTAAAAATGACTGGATTTCATTCATGCTGTTTTGCAGTAAAAGGAAGGCAGCATGCAGCCTAAAATGTTTTAACTAGGAATGAATGTTTTTCTCTTCCATTTTCTCATTATGTTTCTCTCCATAAAGGTGCTTCTTCGTCAGACTCAGAAGGTGAAGGATCCGTGTCGAAGTCTAGGTCCGGAGCCATGCCACAGTATGTGTGTTTCAGCATGTTCTTCCTCGCATGACCTTTAACCCTTTGACCTCAGGCCTCAGTTTAACTGGCCCTGATTATGTATTATCTAATAGCCCCTAATTTATCCTCTGCCATGAAAGTTTGTATTGCTCCTCGTGAAGAACATGGGAGGTTGGTTGGGAATGAAGTGACCTTAAAGAATAGCCAAAGCTGTCTTGGAAGGCCAATAATCAATCAAGAATTTAGGAATCTTGTTGCCTAATCTTCATAATTTGTGTGATCGCTTGAACGCTCTTCAGTCACCTCTGAACTCATCCGCTTATTTCTCTTCCTGTCATCTCTTGCCTCTACTGGCATATCAGTCTTTCCTTTCTGTTTACACAAATTATTAAGCGCTTGGCTCTGGTTCCCAGTGACATCATCGCACCCATTTGGGATTACGCTTTCACTGGCTCTAAAGTCATTTATAAGGTGCAAACTGCATAGTGAAAATTCACACAGTGGAGTGGATATTACTTTACTGTGTGTGTGTGTGTGTGTGTGTGTGTGTGTAAGTTGGTGCGTGTTAGAGAGGAATTACCCCACAGAGAGAGCATGTAAAGCAACATTATACCATTTATTAACTTGTCTTAGCTTATATTTCTATATATTTGCTGTTGGAAACTTTCACTTTAAATTAAATGACCTAATGTTTTAAAAATCAGACAAACACTGTTAAGACTTTGAATAAACCTGTATCCGCCCATTAGATGTGGATATGGCTTTTTTTAATGTGCTCAAATAGGATATCACTCTCATTTTCAGTCTGGCAAAGATCTGCCCGGGCATCAGAAACATTACAGACATCTTTTTTACTAACATTAGTGTTTTTAGTATTATTGAGATATTATTATAGTTTTAATTATACTTGTTTTTATTTTCATTTTCATTTTAGTTAAAGTTTTTGTAATTTTGTTGTGTTTTGTCATTTGTGTTCTTTTTTAGGTCTGTTTAGTTTTTTTCTTTTTTTAAATTTTAGTTTTGGTTTTAGATATTTTAGTACATTGTTAAACTAAACTTTATACATTTAAACTAAAAATTTAACTGAAAAAAAAACTAGAAATGTTGCCTTGGCAACTAGTTGAAATAAAATATTGAAGTTGTTTTTTCATTTTATTTTATTTTAGTTAACAGTTAACATTCATTTTAGTTATTTATATGTAACAAAAATGCTTTTATGGTTTTAGCTTTATCTCCGTTTCCCCCCACAATCCAAACACATGCAGCATAGGTGAACTGAACACTCTGAATTGCCTGTAGGTGAGTGTGTGAATGTGTGTGTGTGTGTGTGTGTGTGTGTGGGCCCTGAGATGAACTGGCCATTCATTCTGGATGGCCTGAGACGCCTGTGGCCCAAAATTCTGAAATAGGCTCCAGCCTCCCGTGACCCTGCAGAGGACAAAGGAGTTTGGAAATGGATGGATGGATGGATAGATGAATGGGTTTTAGTTTTAGTGAAATATAATAACCCTGACCAGCACTGAAACAAATTCTGACCACTGATTTATTCTGAGGCAAAATATAACCCAGCTGTTTCTATATTTTTGCCTGGTTTGTTATATGTGACCATAAACTGGGTCACGTATAATAAAAATGTAACTTCACTTGAAGAAATTTTAATGGACTGTGAAAGAGCAAAAAGATTGATTCACTTGTCATTGCTTGACTAAATGTTTTCAACTTTCAGCCAGGATGACTCAAAATACCCGTTTCTTTCAGTCACAAGCTCTGTTTTGTTTTGGTTCAAATGTACATGAATATTGCAAGATGAGAGTGTGTTCTTTACTTTATATCTAAATGTTTTCTTAAAGGATGACTTTGTAGTGTTGATGATTTGTTCTCTCAGGTCTGAATGAGGTTTGTTTTAGTGTTGCTAATAATTTTCTCAGGGCACAGAAGAAAACCAGCTCAGTTTCTTTGACGATACACACATCGTCACCAAAAAGCCCAGAGGCCCAACCTCATCGCTCCACACTGGTCCAGACGCTTTCTACCACACCACAGAGAGTAAGAAATACACACACAGACTATACCTCTTTTTTGGCACTGAAACTGCAAACTACTATTGAGTGGCACTGAAACTACTATAGACTGCTGCAAGAATAAATCCTAAAACCGAGAAATAAGTTAGTAAAGTTAGTAAGCTAGTAATAAGTTATCTACTACAATGACAGAGAAATAGACACATGCACAAATATGTCTGTAGACTAATCAGGAATGACAACAGCAGATGAACTTATAAAATCTCACGTTCTCTGGAAAGATCCATAATAACCACACATTTTGATGACAGACTTTTGCTCAGATATTTCAGAGCAAAGTCAAGTTTTTTCCTTGCATCAGGGAATTTATTTGTTAAAAGTTTTTATTCGCATTTTAAGATTTCATGTGTGTCTTGACGTTTTCGTTCAGCGTTTTTATTTTTATTATTTGTATGCGATAACCCAAAATTTTGTATAAAAATATGTGGACGGAACAATAGCTAGTTGGCTATTATGAATTCGGTCATCATCTCATGTGAGTGTACACCATTCAATTAATTTCTTAATGTGTTTAAATTAGGACCAAACTACTGAATGTACCTTTAAACTGAAGAGGTCACCCAAAAAATGAAAATTTTTCATAATTTACTCACCCTTGTATGACTTGATTTTTTTTTCTGTGCAACAGTCATATGAAA